AAGAGATTTAATAATGAGAGCCTGGCTGAAAGGATTATCAGACATGTGAAATCATCAAGGAGCCTCTTCATCATGTGCCACATACCTGTGTTCTGCTGGATTTCAGCCACTGTTCTTAAGAGCCTTTTTAGTGAGACTGACAGGGGAGAAATTCCAAGGAATTTGACTGAAATGTACACACATTTCCTGATCTTTCAGACAAGTTTAAAAAATGACAAGTATATGAAAAAGTTTGAAACCAAGCTTAACAAATACAGCAAGGAATTCCTTTTAAAACTCAGTAAACTGGCTTTTGACAACCTTAAGAACAGCAATCTCATATTTTATGAGGAAGATCTGACAAAGAATGGCATTGATGTCACTGAAGCTTCAGTTTACTCTGGAGTGTGCACAGAAGTCTTTAAAGAGGAGTATGGGTTGTATCAGGAGAAGGTGTACTGCTTTGTGCATCTGAGCATCCAAGAGTATCTCGCTGCTTTGTATGTGTTTCTGTCAAACTCATCAGCTGACCTGCTGAAGACTGCAGTGGATCAGGCATTAAAGAGCAAGAATGGACACTTGGACCTCTACCTCTGCTTCCTCCTGGGCCTCTCAACAGACTCCAGTAAGACACTGTTACAAAGGCTACTGGGAGAGACAAGAACCAGCTCACATAACATTGGGGAAACAGCCCAATACATCAAGGTGAAAATACAGGAGAATTTATCTCCAGAAAGGACCATCAACCTGTTCCATTGTCTGATTGAACTGGGTGACAATTCTCTAGTAAATGATGTAGAAAGATACCTGAATTCAGGAAACCTTTCAGCAGAAGACCTCTCACCTGCACAGTTCTCAGCTCTGGCCTTTGTGATGCTGATGTCAGATGAGGAGCTGGATGTATTTGATCTGAAGAAATACATCAGACGGGATAAAGAGCACTGCAGGCTGCTGCCTGTGGTCAAGAACTCCAGGACGGCTCTGTAAGTGATCTGGGGGATGGGAAATCATGTCTGGTCTGGCAGTAATACATTAACATTGTATGAAATATATCTAATTTATTTCTCCTCTTCGATTAATGACTGGGGTGATTGATAATCCAGACCACAGACTTTATAATGACTGAAGGTAGTGATGTAGTAACAAACAAAAAAGTGACGTTTCCGTTCCCATCCAGTCTGCCTTCTGATCCCAGCACAGCATCCTAACCTGCTATAGAAACAGTGAGGGCTCTTTATCCACAGGGTGTATAAGTGGTATGTGAGTGTTATTGTCAGCAGGCGTGTTCATGTGATGGAGCCCAGAGCTGGGAGCGTCTGTATGAGTCATATGGGTGGCACAGCAATTAGTGCTATTGTTTGGCAACTCGAGGGTTGCAGGTTCGAGCCCTGGTTCCTCCTGACCCCATTAAAGTGTCCTTGAGCAAGACACTGAACCCCAAATTGCTCCCAGTATGCAGGTTGGTGCCTTGCATGGCAGCCTCCACCACCGGTGTATGAATGTGAGGCATGAATTGTAAAGTGCTTTGAGTGCTCATAGGAGTAGAAAAGCGCTATATAAATGCAGTCCTTTTATATGACTGCTGTCTCTGGCTGCTCACTCTGCTGGCCGCAGCTGCTCCTGCCTAATGACGTGATGACACATCTGGTCTGGCAGTAATAGATTAACATTGTTTAAAATATAAAATGAATATGTACAGTCAGCCCTCGTGCATTCACTCTTTGTGATTCGTGAATTCACAGATCCAAGAAAATTACATGTTTCCTTTACGCATTTTATTGAATTGTACCTTGGTTACGTATATGACTTCTGTCAATAAGTTTACAGTCCCGTTCATTTACTCATTTTACCTTACCGTGAATGCAAAAGAAAACGGCAGCCAATGCTGTGTTCTATGAATTATTAGGGGTAANGTCAACGATCAGACTGGGGAGCACAGGACAAGCAGGCACTGATATACACAAAAATATTGATATATAAATGCCAGGTGAAGAGTGTGTGTATGTCTCCATTATTAAGGGTCCAAAGCACGAAGTGCTTATGGACCATTATTATCTTTGGATTCTGTGTGTTTCTTAAAGGAAATGTTCAGTGCAGTATGAGGGACGAACGAGAGGCAGGTGTGAGTAATAAAGAGAAGCGGGAGGAACCTGAATGGCCAGTAGCGACCACTGCTGGCTATATGGGAACATGACAGACAGATCCTGACAGTACCACCCAGGGGCAGTCCTAGCCTGTTTGGTGCCCTGGGCGAACACCCCCTCTGGTGCCCGATACACACACACACAGACATATAAAACATATTAAGGATTGTACATTAACATATTTTATTGTAAAAACTGTTGTCGGAACCAAACTGAATTTAACCAGATAAACATATAATATTATGTAAAAACAACAGCTTGCAGCAGAAGCAAAAAAGGCTGTTGTTTTTCTCAGAATATATTAGCCAGCTTCTAGGCATCTTTTCACCGCTAACTAGTGTTTTCTTAAAATGCTGGTGGTGGCAACTTCTTCCATCACCCTCATATCTAGGGAAAACAAAGTCAGGTGCTACCTTACTTGGTCCTTGGTCCAGCTGTATTTGAATGCTGTCAGTGATATCTGAAGGCCAGCTTGCAGGGTCCGTAGGCAGGGGCTCATCCTCAGGCGGCTCAGCTCCAGGCATCAGCATACATTGCATTAGTATACACAAGTTATTTGGAATACACAGCATTCATAGTGGTGGAACAGTCTTTCAAAAATATTATGCAACACACACACACACTCAGGCTACACACAGTCACACCTGAAGGGGCTGCAATTGGGTCTTCATCCTCGGGATCAGACATTTGTGGAGACACATATGTGGCTGAGGAGGTGGACGGCTCCTCATCTTGGGCAGTGGCAGAGGGTGCTCCAAAATATTTCAGAAGTGCCCCTGAATACAAACCTAATATAAAACTCTGATACATGCATGCATCATTTCCATAATTAAAACAAACATATAATTTTGCCCAATTTATCAAATATTCAGAATTATATGTATAACAAGCATTTTATTGTATAGGCTATCACAACAAAAGTGTTTGGAAGTAATGCATTACTCTGTAATTACAGTAAGATAACTTTCCTAAATAATGTAGCCTAATAGTGTAAGGGATTTTTTTTGCTAAGTCAGCTAGACTACAACAGAACACTATCGTC